GCTTCAGGAAAAAGGCATAGGGAGAGAAATGAGTCTCTGTAACTGCAGCTTTTTATTGCTGCCAATCTAGCACCTCGGGCTAACTGTAAGAGTGTTCTCCCACACTACACAACATTTCTTTTAAATGATACACGTCAAGCGAGACTGTGGTCCCAGGAGATGCCTGGCAGCCTTCAAATTGCTTGTTTTGCAATCTCTCCCCTTTTCTTTTCGGAGGCAGCTTTGATGGCAAGACACTAGATAAAATAAGGTCTGATTAGGAATGTGAGACTGTAGCACATCTCGGAACGCGAATGTACCCTATGGAGGGGAAAAAAAGCATGTACAGACATGGGATTTGTTGATGTCTGTAGACATCCTAGCCTCATTTAATATTTTCCCACACTCACTTCAATCAGACTTGCGGCTAGAAAAAATATTTTTAATTCTGCAATACTCCTACGAGTGGTATGGCAAACTGGGTGCTTCCCAGATCGTGCTCCTGTGGTTTCTGTCACGCAGGAGATTCCCCTGACAATAGATCCCACATGAGCTCCGCTAATTACTCAGCCTTTCTTGGGGTGCAGGGAGCTCTGTGCGGCCCATCCGACGATGGGAAACCTTGGATTAYGCACAAAGGAAGCCACAGAGTCCAGTTTTGGGGAGTTTTTGAGCCTCATGTGGATCCAAGAGCCTGTTGTGCCATTTACCCCCGCTCTGTAAAGCTGCCCTCCTCAAAACTGCTCTGGGATCTTCTACACCCACCCCGAGCCAACGTGGTGTTGGGTTTGAAGATCAAATACAAAGGCATAAAAACAGTAAATGACTGGGAGGATGACAGGATACCTGATCCTGACGATTTGTATCTGTGTTTCTAGGGCCTCACCTAATGTTGACACGAATAAACTGAAGAAACCAGCTCCCTAAACCTGTGCAATCATCTCATACACCGATTCCTTACATAAAACAAATCATCCTAAACCACAACAGCCAGGTGAATGACTGGGATTTATTCCCATTTATTTGCACTTTGGCCAGCCACGTTGTCCCCCAYGCACAGAGGTAAGCAGAATCCTCCCTAAGCGTACCTGGTCAGTGGAAGAGCACAGCTCTCCATCCCAAGCACCGCACACACCATCTCCCTGAAACAATCCTTCCTTATTACCTGTGCTTCACTTACTGCCGTAGTTCTGCAACTTGCCAGCAAGCTCCAAAATTAATTAACTGATTCATTGATTAAGGCACAGGAGCATCTATCTTACGAGGAAAGACTAAGCGAGCTGGGCCTGTTTAGCCTGGAGAAGAGAAGGTTGAGAGGGGATCTGATCAATGTGTATAAATACCTGAAAGGTCAATGTAGGGAGGAAGGGGCCAAGCTCTTCTCAGTGGTGGCCAGTGACAGGACAAGGGCCAATGTTGTTGAAACACAGGCAGTTCCATGTGCATGTGAGGAGGAACTTCTTTCCTGTGAGGGTGACAGAGCCCTGGCACAGGCTGCTCAAGGTGGTTGTGGAGCCTCCCTCTCTGGAGGTCTTCAAAACCCACCTGGATGCCGCCCYGTGCCCTGTCCTCTGGGTGTCCTTGCTGGAGCAGGGGGTTGGACTAGATGGTCTCTGGAGGCCCCTTCTGACATCAACCATTCTGTGATTCTGTGAAATCCACTTGGATTGAGAGACACGGTGATGTGAGCATCCTATCTCCTTCATGAATGACCTGTATAACACCCGCCAAAGCTGCTGCCTTGAGGAGGACGTGCCCCAGGCACGTAGAGAGCCTCGGGAGTTATTGAGCCTGCAGTTAAATTGCTGATGGAGTCAACACTGTGACCGTGAGAGAAGGTCACATTTCTCATGTGTATCTGTAACTGAGGGAAAGCAACAGGATTTAGAAACTGGTGGTTTCTAAACCTTGAAGGATCTTTTCTTTAAAGTGTTCATCAAGTCATGCCTTGAAATAAGAAAGTCTGGATGATGAGTCAAGTGGAATAATAGGCAGCGATAAAGGGAAGGACAAAAGGCTGTACTACAAAAACTATGGGGTGGCTGGTAAGGTTAGAGAGGAAAACTCATTCTTCAGGATGTTGTGTGATCAAAGGGATRATAAAGTAATAAAATCTTTAACTAAATCAGTTCCTTGTCCATGGGAAGAAAAGAAGACAATGGAGGCTTGCATCACTTCTCATTTAATCACAAAATATGTTCATCMATAATTATAAAAATTATAAATCATTGTGCTTTTAGACTCTAAAGAGTAAATTATTTAATATGTGAAATTATTTTGTCACAGTGAAAATGCAGTAGTGACCAATTCACAAACTGTTCAAGGCACAACCAGTTACTGCTCCAAGCCAGAGAAGCGGCTCTTTCCTCTTGGCCCCACTGAAATCTCACTGCCCAGGCAGGAGCGACAGTGGGCTCAGGGGCTGCACATGCTATACGACATCAGAGAAGTTACTGCTTAATTAAAATTAATTGATTATTATATAAAAAATAATTGCGTTTCCAGTTTTGGAAATCCTCTTGGAGGAAAAAATATACCATGGCCTTTAATTTAGATGCAAGTTCTGCATTCATGACTCAACGTGCTTTATTCCTTGCTTTGAAGCTGTGATTTGTTTTTCTTACCTGAAACACAGCAGTTTGCAAAAGAACAACATTATTTTCAGAACATGTTTCCCCAGTCAACACCAATGCATCACCAGGTGTGCTGTAGTGCAAGGGAGTCTAACCAGGACACCCTTCAAGTCTCAGCAGACACAGAAACTGGGGGCAAGGAACATTTTCAATGTGCAGGAGCCTCTCGACTTGCCAGCCCACCACAACCAGTGTTGCCCACCTACTGCTGCCCTCCTGAGTCCTCTGGGCAGCACTTTTTTGCCTGACAAAACCACTTGTGGTGCGCACGCTTTGGGGATTAACCCTGCTGAACACGGTCACGGAAAGGAGGACAACGGGGGGGACGGTGAATCTGCGTTAACACAGCATCTCCTTAGAGCTGCCGGTCTGAAACCAGCACCTTACTGGTGCCACGGGCCAGTGTCACGGATCCAGCACAAGYAGAGGGAGCCTCCTCCACCAGCAGAGAAAGCTCATTTCGTCCAGCCTGACACTTGCCTTGATTTTTAAAGGTTTCACACACACCATTCTGGAATCAAATTTTAAACACGTAACATTTCTTTTCTAAAATGCCAAATACTACGGATGAAAACTACTCTTTTTTCTCCGCTCAAAATGTGTCTGCTGGCAGTAAGTTTCTGATGCCCCCCCGTTTTGTGTGCAATGTTCCAGATCACACACAGACCAGGGACCTTCTTGCGTTGGACAAATTACAGCCGAGAAAAATTTGCTGTGCTGGTTCAAACAAGGAGTTGGTGGCAACCTGCTCTTCATGGTCACTGCTCCTCATTTGTCATTCTGAAAAGTTTAATACTAATAGGCAAATCTCCAGTGCTTTATTGAGCTGTCGTGCTCACTGAGAGGCAATACTGGTTGGAGAGCTTTTTCAAATCCTCAAAAAGTAATCTCAAAAGCCCCTCAATGTAATGCATGACAAATGCAAGTGCTGAGCCATACCTGTTACCTTCTCATTTAATGATGGATTTTTACACGGACCCCACAGCTATTTTAATGAGTTTTATTTAAGTTTTAGTGCTGATTGGGCACTCTGCAAAGATCTGCCATGTATAAGAAATGCACTAKAAGAATGAATTAAAAACAAACGCAATTCTTAGCCACTTCAATATAATGAAAAGCAATCTAATTGCTGTGTTAATAGCAAGAGACTTTGTCCTTGAGAAGGCAGAACTGTATATGTATATATGGCTTGAGAAGGCAGAACTGAAATATATATATATATGTTGCTGTATATATATGTATGTGTTTGTATAAAATTCATCTTGTCAGCATAACTGAGCTGTGGATCTCTAAATGTACAAGAGGAGGAATTAAGTGGATGACGAGGTGATTCTTCTCCTTTTTATTACTGTCCTGCTACCTTTTTCCCCTATTCTTCTTCCCCACTCTGAAGCCAGATTCTTTACATTTTGCTCTGTAACACAACTCGAACATATTCAGGACGAGCTGCAGWCCAGACACTAGTGAGATCTGGTGGATGGGGCAACGAGGCAGATACGTTTCAGATTTCCCTTCCTTTGGAAGCTGGGGAGTCAATTTAAGCAGCAGTTGGGCAGGGTTTTCCTGCCGGTGGGTCCAGGACAAACGGGCACTGCTGGTTTGGGCCAGCTGCCCGAGAGCTGCAGGGCGCCAGCTCCGGGGAAGGGATTGACCATCTCCGAGGTGACACAACCCAGGGATCTTCTCAAGCTGTGCTGCAAGCAGCAGCTCGTTCATTATTTTACTCTACCACCCTTGTCTATACTGTAACATACCCCAAATGTGCTCAGTTTCACACAGGGAAGTAAAAGAGCTTATATCACAGAGGAAAAAGAAGAGCCAGGGAGAGAGATTTAACATATAGGCAGAATGACTTCAGTGGCTGATGGCTGGAGGCTCTGTTGTCAAGCAAAATAGAAAAGTCTTGTTAGAGCTTGCTTAAAACCCTCAAAAAAGCAGCTCCAGACCTAACATTTCCACACTTTCCAGCACACTTTTCAACCGACTTCCATAGCACCATTTCATTTGAATTTTCAGCCATTCAGCTTCAGTCCCTTACTGCAAGTGCTGCTGCACAATATTAGCTGTCTGTATGCCACGGAGCAGGCACACTGTTAAATTCTGTGTTTTCTTGCTAACCTAAATGTCAACTGCTCTCTTACATGAGAGTGCTAGTGCTAGCCTGTCTTCACCTGTTAATTTAGAATGTCTTAATTTACAACAGATGCATATCAGAAGGTGACACTCTGARAAATATTTAGTTCTTCACTCTTCTTCAGGTCATAGTTTCTTTCCTGGTTTCAGTAAAACACTACTGAGCAAAAACAAATAATAAATACATMATTAAAAATAAAACAAATAATCAAGAAGGAAATGAGAAGCAATGTTATAAAAGTCATGGTAACTCACATGGGGCCTCTCCTTGGCCTTGCTGTCTTTACTGGAAGCTCCACTCAGCTGCTCAATCAGACTGTAACGTGCTAAGTGCTCGGGTCCCTCCTCTCCAAAATGGGCATAGAGGCTATGCTGGTATAAATCCAAGATTGACATGGGGTTGCCCAGAAAAGACTTTCTCTGATTTTGTTTCTCTTGATCAGCTGCAAGAGATATAAAAACCAATATGTTATTTTTGCAGTTTTCAAAATGTATTTCAAGTGTTTTTAAGGCATCTGAAATTTAACAGTAATAAAGGCATTAAAATACTATCTCCTAACTCTCCAATTAATACAGATAGAGGCTCATACTTCCCATTCAACATGATGAAGAAGGCAGTTTCTTTCTTTTGGAATTACTAATGATGGTTAAATTGGGAGGATCTTTCTATTTGTTTTTTGCTGKAAGTTTTCATACTTCTCTCTCAAAAGCCCTACCAGGCAGATGTGCTGAGCTCCTTTAGCACATCTTTTGGTCTATTTTTGAAAATCCTTTTTCATTGCATTTTTAGATAATGAAAACAATAGCATAAAATATGCATGAACAAGATAAGAAAGAGGCACTATGCAAATGTTATAGATCCTGCTGGAATTCCAAAAAAAAAAAAAAAAAAAAAAAAGTAAAAGAGTAAAAGCTCAGTCTCCAAAGACCAAGGCTCGAAACTCATACTAAAGATCCAAACAAAACCAAATAAAATTCCTGCATCTTCAAGAACAAGCCCGGGGAGAGATCATTTGCTTCCTTCTTCATACTGCACAAACTTCAATTACACCCTTTAACTCATAGCACTAGAAGAGCTCCTGTCTCCAGTGCCTCCAACAGAGCTGCACTGGGATAAAACCTTTGAGAAATCAGAATCAAACTGTTCTCAAGGGGGAACCAGAAGAACTTGGAGTATTTGGTTTATTCCCCACTGCTCTATTGACTCTCTTCATAAGGTTGGCCAATGTTCTGGGAGTCTCTTGCAAAGTCCACTCAACCAGTGCAGGGCTTATCAGGGACCTTCAGTAGCACCAGGCAGGCAGCCTCCCAGCTGTCCAGCTCCCTGCTCAGAAATGGAAAATGAAAATAACTTTTTTTTTTCAGCTTTAAAACAGAAAGTTCACAGAAAGTGCCATAGCAGGAATGTTCATTAATGTTCTGAAGACTCATCTAACAACAATCTGTGCATACAAAAACATTCTCCATGTCTTGCATTGCTGCAGCCGCTGCCTCGTCCTCCTGTGGATGTTTTGAGGTTATATCACTTGTGAACATAAAGAAACGGAGATCTTTGAGCACAGGATGGAATAAAGTATTGTTATTAATACGATGTGGGAATTGCATTAATAGAGCAAAGCGCAGAAATCCTGATTCTAAAAGGCGTTRTTATGGCAGAACTACTTTTGCAATAATGCTTCATAATTATCTTTTCTATTTGTCTTCAACAGCAATTTAAGTATATGAATTTAAGTATATTAATTTAGTAACTTAATCGGTTATATATACTAAATAGCTCAATAAACTGATGACCTCACATCATGTTTAGATATCAGTTAACTTGGAATCAACCTTCATTTAATGCAACTACTTACATATTATTACAATCCTTTTTTTTAATTCTAATCAATAAAAAAAATTGCCTATCTACCTCCAAGACAAAACACATTTCTCTTGTATTCAAGAATGATTTGCAAAAAGTATCAAAAGTGTTTACAAGCCAAGTTAAATTACCTGCAACATTTCACAGAGGTTAAAAATACCAAGTTACAGGAGCAATGCAAATAAATGATCCTGGCTTCTTACCTTGTTCTCTCCGCAGGGGACTTACATAAAACGGATTATCTCTGAAAATGCCAAACATTTAAGGCAAACTCCCAGGAGACACTGAAGTGCACAGTAAGTGTGTCTACAACATCCATCTGTCCAGGGCGTCTTTAACGCGCTCCACGCTGCGGCAGCTGCTCTAGCTGCTGATCTCTGCCAGGTCAAGCTCTCTGCAGCGCAGAGGGGCACCRCAAATCCTCCGAATCACTGAAATGCTGCTTAAGCTCTCAGGGCTTCAGCGGTGCCAAGACCTTGTGCTGGCCTCTGCACTTGCCAGGATTTATCACCTGTGGCTGCTGAGCTGGGATAGGGGACACGCGCTGAACCAAGGGGCAGCTGGCAGCATCGCACGGCCAAGGGAAGGCAGCAATTTCTTGGGTTATTAAACACACAGAGAACTATTAGTCCAAGAACTTCACCCACGTGCTTTCATCTACYGGAACTCAGTAAATTCCAAGTGGCCATTGATTCTTGCAGAAAAAGTGTGGCACTTGAAAATGGCTATATAGAGGAAGGAGGTTGACAGGATCTTCCCTATAGCATCAAAACCAAAGCAACTTTGATGCAGAGGCTAGAGAACTATGGCTTTGCATTGAGTGTTTAAACTTGCTATTAAAAAAAAAAAAGACCTATGTTTACAGTCATCTTTTAAATTTTGTACTAACGTAAGAGACTGGAGAGACTGTAATTTCACTGCAAGGATTTATACATGAAAGCCTAAAGGTTGAGCTAGCAAAAGCAGCTGAAGAGAGGAAAAAAGGCACATAATGAAAAAACAGAGCAAAGAAAGGTGTGAAAAGTGGAAACTGGGCAGACAACAGTCCAATGAAGGACACTATCCGCCGCAGCCAGCGTGGAGATGAGAGATACACATTTCTCATGTGCATAATTTCAATTACCTTGTTTGTTGCTCTTTGTTAACTCTGCTAACTTCTCTCCTGCAGCTCTAAAATAATTTGTTTCATAGTCTGGCTCTGTCTCGGTGTCACTGCTGCTGGCAGAGTAAGTGCACACCCTCGGAGCTCGGTCCTGGACAAATCACAGCGTTGCAATCGTTCAGATGAGGTACATATATCAAAATAACGCAGACGGGGATATTAGGAAGGGAACATTTAACATTCATCATGCAGGGTAAACAGAGAGTTTAAGTGGTGAGAAGTCTGTTTTACCAGTATAACTAATTGCTTATCCCTCGGTAAATACTCATCAGTCTGATGTGGGGGAATTAACACATTCCCGTCCTGCTGAATCCTCTGAGATRGTCCAGCAGACAGAGCCCACCTTTTACAGAGGCTTACATTGCAACATTGCTGTCAGATCCACCTGCTTTCTTCAGATTATTTCATCCACCAAGCTCAAACTTAAAACCTCTCAAGCATCAGCAGTATTTGGAGGGATTTGGAAGGTGCAAGATGCTTACCCAGCACCCAAAGGTCTGAAGCAATGTCAGCAATTCTGCAGGCAACCAGTGAGGGTGGCCAGTGGACAGGACTTGCATTTTCCATACTGAGCATTAAATCTTAAATTCAACCTAAATTCATGCCCCCTGGCCCTGGTATCTATGTTATAGTGATGAAAAGCCCTTAATACRCAGCTGTTTCCTCACCCCTAAGGGCTTTGCTCTGGGAGCAAAGAGGATGGCTGGTCCTGACAGGTTCCCACCCAGGAAGCACTTGAGCATCTCTGGAGCAGCCACTCGGTAGAATAAAATCCAGAAAACGGGGATGGGGGAAGCTAAGGCTGAGGTTAACTTAGTTAAATTAATCTCTGTGCCTTACAGGTTACAGGTACAAATGGCACCAAATACCTAAGCCAAATTGCCTATCTAAAGGTGCAAAACAGTTTCTTTGTCTCTCCCCAAAACACCCAGAGCGTGGGCTATATAAAAAAGCCACAAGAAACTGTGATGGAGAAGGCAAACAAGCGGAACAGTTAAGCAATGTCTAAGCCTCTCGTAATGCCAGGCTGATTAGCTGGCAGCCTGAGCTCTTCCTCGAGCTCTTCCTTGCCATGATGCCCCCTTTCCCGAGCAGTTCTCCCTTCCCTTTGCCAAGCTGCCGGGCCCCAGCTTCCCCCAAGGCTTGGAGCCTGGCACGCTGTGGGTTAATAGCTTGCTGGTGGCTCTTACGCAGGTACATGCATTTGCCTATTCATTCTTCCTTGTAGTTTTCAGATTCAAGATTGAAGGATGGATGGACTAACCAAAAACACTCAGAAAAAAATGTGAGAATATTTTCCTTTTCACGCTGCTTCATAGCACAGCTGCTCCAAGCCTGCTGCTGTGCAGAGAAGGAAACTAGACTTGGGAAAAAAAGCCCCAACAGATCCAYGTCTCTAATGGCAAGCAAACAAACGGGATCAAGTTTCCTAAAGAGGCAAACTGGCTAAAGCTCCTCTATTTCCGTGGTTATACAGCGCCTGGGAGAATACTGAGTAAAACATGTTGAAAAGTGTGTGCACGAGGGACCTTAGGGTACTGGATTATTATTAATAAATAATGAGATTGCTAATGAAGGGGGATAAAGCAAATGCAGTTAGGAGATTGTTAATTACTCTTTCCACTGTATCAGAAACATTCACCGTTTCTGATCCTTTCCACTGCAGTATATCTCTCCTTTAATAGATTACTCYCCTTCATTCCTACCTGTGTTTTAGTAGTTTTCTTGCTGGTCCAGTCTGGAAGAGCCTCCCGATTTTCCACAGTTTCTTCATAACGCTCGAACGAGGCAGCAGTCTCGGCGCTTGGTTCCCGTCTATTTTGCTTTCCAAAGTTACCAATTCCTGCATTAAGAGACTTACTTTAGTTGTGGTACTCATGTATTTTATGTCAATTATGTATGTCAATCATAATTTAGTAGAAAACAGGGTCAAGTTGTGATACTTTTACTATGTCAAATACTACTTCAGTGTTTGAAGGAACTACTTGCTTATTAAGGTAATTCCAGCACCTTTCATGGCAAGATTTGATCCAAAGCCCTTTCTATTTAACAAGCAAAGAGAAAGGCACAGTTTTAAATGTGCACAGTTTTAAATTCCCTTATTAGATTTAAAAAAATTCATTCAAACAACATTCAATAACTATTTCTAGGCATTGCAGAATCRGTTTTAGCTATTTTATATTCTCAAAGAGAGAACACTCTGTTAACATAAATATAATTAGAAGCACCTTTCCAGCAGAAATTCTCAATCAGCTTGTCTTTCTACTTGCTATATTGGCACTACGGAAAATCAAAACATCAAAGAAGATGTATGGTGCATGTGAAATAAAATGATAATTGTAATTTGGATGAAAAAGTGAGGGAGCGGCAAAGAAATGGAAACAAAATGAAAATATTCTAGTAAAGAATGAGTTGACTCCACCATCTGATGTATACAGTTTTCTTTTAAAACATCTCTTCATGACAATTTAATTAAGATACAAACCTTGCAAAGTTGGTGCTGTGAATATTAGCATTAAGATCAGAACAGTCTTACTGCCACTGACTTCTTACGAAGCAATTCAATGCTTGCAGTTTCCATTCAATTTGTTATAATGACAGTGTTTAATCATGGAGTCTACTCTATGGCGCACTGCTGAATTGAGGTCACCCATGTGGCTATTCAAGCATATAGCATATAATCTATAACCACGATTTCTCTGCTGAATCCTTCTTAGCTCTACCATTAATTAACAGTACATTTATTTTTAAAAATTCTAAGTACTAAAATATCTTTTATTTAGCTTGGATTTGAAAGAGCAGGGAGTCTCAATGAAGCATGCAACGCGTGTTTGCAGTCCATTATATCACTGCAAAACTGTGCTGGGAATATTGCTAAATCAACTTACTTCTAAGGAGTTTAATTAGAATCCTTCTCTTACGCCGCTTATGAATGTATAAAATAGGCTTCTTCCCTCCCAGGCTCAATTTATACATCTGCTTATTAACAGAACACATATTTGATGGCCTTAAACTAAGCTGAAACTTGATATTTAACCTCTCATGTTAATTACATGGATCCTCTCTTGGAGCTAGAGAGACGGGGATTTATGCAAGTTAAACACAAGTTTTATAAGAGCAACAAATGCTTACGCTGGCAAAGGGCTGACAACTTTTACCTTGAAGCTACATCCTGCCAGAAAGCACTGTTCAGAGGAAGGTTTCTTCATAGTTACTTCTCCCTTTGGAACAGAAGTTGTCTGGGGGGAGAGCCTCTGCGTCTGCATTTATTCAGCTACTCCTAACTTGAGAGCAGCTCGTGCATTAATGTAACACCAATAAATAAATGACATTGCATTGGACAAGGTAAAAAGTACTTTTCCCCATTAAACTGATTACTTTTATTCAGGTTTGTAACATTTTTACCTTCTGAATATGAAAATTAGTCTGTTACAGATATAAACGCTATATGTAATCATTTCTGTTGTTATTGACATACACATTAGGAACCTGAAAAGCTTAAAAAATGCATGCAGCTGCTCTGTGTGCATTTATAACAATTTGAAGACATTTCAATGGAAGTACTTACCAATGTAAAGTTATTTGCTGGTGTTTTTCTGGATTAGTCTCTTTACTGCTTTGTCAGCTTTTGTTTTACAGTTTATAGTAAATGCACACTCTGCTGATAAATGACAATAAGCTGTTTTATGTGTGTATATTTAAATAATTTGTATGATGCAGGAAAGCAGCAAGAGCCTTGCTTGAGATCAAGGCCGTATACTCCGTGGGACAGAATTTATGCACCGAGGCCAGCGGAGGCCATCGCTTGAATCTAATATCAGAAGTCCWTAGAACGGGTCTTTCTGTAATGTCACAACATGCTTATGCTTTGTACTTTGGGGCCAAGTCAGATCCTGAATATTGCTGACCATCTGCCTTCCTATTCCAGTTCAATTCCAAGGCTTGCGTGGACTCTTTTTCTTGAGGGAAGGACTTAAGCACTTACCATATTTTTCCTTCTGGGTTACAGATAAGCACAATGCACAGCAACATTTCTGTCAGCTCAGGTCACAAACTTGTTAACCTTATGCTTCAGATGACGACTGTTTTCTGCTCTGCATTTACCATCCCTGTTATCAATTGCCATGATCACAAGAGCACTGATCAGGACAGCAATACCCTCCAGCTTCCCAAGGCAATGAGTGTTTTACCTGAGGAAGCCAGCTTGGGGAGGCGGCTCTGGAAAGCTCGGGTGCCCTGGGCGCTCATGGCTGGATCCGATGTCGAGTGACTGATGGCGCTTCCCGCCGCTTCCCGGCTCCTGGTGCTYGAAGGCACTTCCCGCTCGAGGGTTTTGGCTTTTGCCAAAGGAGCGGGGAGCAGAACCTGCTCCGGCGGCGCCAGCGTGTCCGTGTCCGTGTCCGCGTCGGGCTCGTGCCTGGCCAGGTGGCGCCCGGCAGCACGGGCCCCGGCGTCCGGCAGCGGGAAGGTGCCGATCCCGCTGTCCAGGGTCCTCATCTGGCAGCCAGACCCTGCGGCACAGAAAAGCGGGTGATGCCGGGTGCCCCAGGGGCTCGCTGGCCCTTAGAGACAGCAAAAGGGGCCGTGGGAGGAAAGGGCAGCTCCTGGGGAAGGTTTTAGGGAAAGAAATGCACCCGGTGTCTCGCCACCCACCATGCAGATGCTACTGGATGAATATGAAGGCAAACCCTGCTCAGATGCAGTTAAACTAGCTAACACATGGCAAGACATCAGAACTGGCCTGCTTCAGGCTTCGGATGAGATAACGGATAAGGACACAGACTAGAAAGTAATCWCGGCTGGAATTTCTAAATGACTTATCGTAAAGGCCTGCAGAAAGTCTGGAAAAATCCTGCGTGAGGATCTTCCACAGTAACAGGAGAAATGAGGGATGGAGGAGCATGACGTATTCCTTCTTCAGCAAAACCTCCCTCCTAAGCAAAGCCACCGGGCACGCAAGCTGGTCTTCTCCATACCCCCACACCCCTCTCTTCCTTAGTGCTTCTCTTAACAATATGGAAAGCACCACGACAGCAGAGTCCTTTCCACAGGCATAACCACCCCRGAGGCAACTTCAGCACTGCTGCTTGGGAAATGGGCACAATTTAGCTTAAATTCAGCTGAAATGCCTGGAAACATCCCCCGACAGCGAGACCAGTGGCAGAGCCTCCCAAGAGAGGCAGGGAAGGTCCTTTGCTCGGGCTGTTCAGGGCGAGACTAAATGAGGGACCTGGAGCTGCAGTGAGCAATTGCGCTCTGGCAGGGGACGCAGAATATGATGCAATATATCTTTTCCATCTCTATTTCCTATGTTCCTGAGTATTGATTTTTTATGATACTCTGATTTGTTATTTAAGTCCGTGATAGTTAGCAGTCCTCTGTCAAGTAATTTTCATGATTTTTTCCTCTGCAGCATTTCTGCTGCTCGCAGAGGTTTGGAAATTCCTCTCCTCTACAGGTTTTGCCTGTTCTTTTCTGAAATAACATTAACATGTTCATTTTTTGCTTATAGCTTAGCCTCTATGGGCTTTATTCCTTAGCAAGGAAGAAATTACTCACAGATATATTAAATACCTGTTTATGTTTCCAGCTGCTTGTCAAAAGAGCAGCACTTTGTGCTTACATGGCCCTCATTTACTTATCCGACTCACTTAAATATAATTTTCCTGACAACATTCCTGAGAGGAAAGGAAATATCTTCCACTCAGTTTTGGAAAGGAAGGACTCCRGATCTCAGGAAGATTGAAAGTCTTGAGCACATTTACCTTAAGGGCCCAGCCAAGTTGCAAAAACATATAGGCATTTTCTTTAAAAAGGGCAACAAGTGACCCTGCAGGAGATGATTTCCCTCATCCAATTACTGTACCCCAATTGCTTCTTTCTGCCGGTGGTAAAAGGAGACCCAGCCTGAGAGCCCTGGCCAGGTGGCAACTAAATCCTCTGCCATATTTCTGAGCTAATGTCCCATAATGACTATAGCAGTTGCAGAAGGTTATACTTGAACCGAGTGGAAAAGAAAATTAGATTTGGATAGGCTGAATCAAAGGGAATTACCCCAGCCACCGAACTCTTTCTTTTGCCAGTTATCCTCTCCCTAAGATCTTTTTTAGTTTGTTTTCTAATAGTAAAATGCACAGCTACAGCTGGCTGGACCTTCCCTCTGAGGACAGGGCTGAGTAGGGAAAAGCTGCAACACCGGAGCTCAGTCCTTGCATGTCACTCTGGAGACCATTTACCGAGGGAAATGCAGCCCCTGGCCAGGCAGAGCTTTAGCCAACAGCAATCAGTGATAGAGTTTGCGAATAAAGAAACACGAGTAAGAAAGTTTCTGCATGATAAGAAGAAAGACAAGAGCTACACRGCTTGGGCTGCAGAGTTCTGCAGGACGGACAGGAGGCACCATAAAAAGGAACCRTCCGAGCCAAGAAATCCCAAATTGTGACTGCGAGATTAATGCAGGATGCAGCCCTGCCACCCACCTGAATGAGTTTGCAAGGTCTTTTTTTCTCTTTCTTTTTTTTCTACTTAGAGCATCCTTTCAGAAATGAAAACGGCAGTCCTACCTAATTATAGCAAGAAAATTGAGTAGACTCTAATCGTATGCCCAACACTGTGGCAAAGTCCTTTGCTCAAACTGAAGGACAATCAGTATTTTATCTTCTAAGGGGATCTTTCTTAAAATGATATAATCTATGTCCAAAGGATCTCTCTTGCCCACAGTTAGCCTTTGTACACCTAGTAATGGACCATGAAAGCAACCACACAAAATCAAGAGAAATGAACATTAGGGGCCACATTGCCAAGAAATGATTCTTGAAAAGAGTCTCCTGCTATTCCTAAAATAATTGAGAGAGTAATGGAGGAGCACACCAAAAGTGTCACATTTAATTAAAAGGAAAAATAGTTTTAATCAATTACAGCCTTCCTTCACAGAGATTTTATCCACAACAAAGCGAGTACACGCCATGTGGTAACACAGATTTCTAACACAGCTAATTTTTAATACTCGGTAAATGGCAAAAAGGGCTCGGCTTTCAAAGTGCTCAGCAGCTCCCATCGTGACATTTGAAGGACAATTTCTGAAAAATCCGGGTACTCAAATGCATTCATCAATTTTGAAATATCTAGCCCAAATCTCCAGTGTCTCCAACATTCTGCTCTAGACGTTAAATTCTCACCAGTGATGGCAAGTGACTCATTCACCCGCTAAAGCTCATTTTATATAAGACAAACAAGAAAGTACCTCTGGTCAGAGCCCACATTACTGAACGTGCAGCGTTACCTTGGGTTGCTGAAGCACCTTCCAAATCAAAGCACCTGCTCTGCCTTGCTGACAGCTTTCAAACCAAGCAGTGCAGGGCCAGTCTGATTTCCTAGGCTGCACTGACACTTCAAATGACTGTTACCAGCAAGAGCTGCCCCACGCTACCCAGGGACAATCTGTAAGTGTTAAATCTCTGATGCTGCAGCAGAAATGCTCTGTAGATGCAAAATAATGCTGCAAAACATTCAAGTCGTGAAAGTTTATACTTGAACATAATTGCTTTTGCTTGGGAATTCTTCCTGACAAAACTTTCTCTTCTCAGAAAAGCTTTTTAACTTCTCTCCAAACTGAAGACAGAAATAAAGATACAGAGCTGCTTCTTGGAGAGCACAGAACTCCTTGCCGCATGGGAATCTTCTGACGACAGGATGTTGCAGAAGTTGGCACAACCACCCTATCCATCTGTGTTGGAGAACCTGATGAACACCTTTAAAGCTGAGAAGCTTCTCACCATTTCCTTAGARAAAACATCAGCCACTGAGCAGAAGGAACTAGCACTGCTCTGGAAGCCTGACTGACTCCCAACTCCTGAATAATTTTCAGGCTGAACATGTTCACAGGCGAGATGATCATGAGATCCCCGTCCTACCTCCACTCGGCACCCTGGTATTTTGTGTGGTGGGACAGGCTTGGTGCACCCCAGCATCACTGCCACCTTTCAGGGCTTGCTGGTGCCACTGCTACCAACAGCAGCAGCAGAACAAGGTGAAGCAGAATAAGAAGGTTCTGAGCTCACCATGGGGTCAGGTAACAATCACAGTTCCTTTGTAGGATTTTTATACCTTCCTCTGAAACATAAAACTTAGGAGCTGGAAATAACCACAGTCCAGTGGCAGGAACTGACACCCTAGAATACAGCAGAGTTTTTCAGGGCATTCTCCTGAGCATAAATCATCCATACACACACCTTAAAATACCAGCAATAGAGCAATAAACGTAATTATTTATCAACCTTTTTGATTGCTTCTGAAACATTTGTATCTACCACCTCTGGCTCAGAAACTACTTCTGCTGCAGATCACTGGGGACAGGGAGAGACCCCCGGGAAGCCTGGAGGGCTGCCCGCAGCTTCGGCTCCTTCCCTGGCACCTGGACTGGATGCAACAAGGACAGCGACCAAGAGGAACCTCTGCTCTGACACAGAACTGYACTGCTTTATGTTGTTACCTTCTCTGTACAAGCTTCTTCATTCTCTTTTTATAGGATACTCGGGAAAGGAATATAATTTTTGATAAAAAATAAAATAAAAGGTAGAGCAGATACCATGAAGGGAATTGCTTCCAGCCAAGCAATGCTGATGTTTGCAAAATAGGGCATTACTCAAAATGAACACGGAGCAAAACCTCTCTTGCTTTAAGCCCAGGCACACAGCAGTCTTTCTAGTATGGACTGCAGCAAAGCAATGTTGAGAGCTAGCACATTTCTAGGGCCTTTTATGGATTTCATATAACAGAAGTCCAAAAGTGGTGGTACAGCTTTTGAATGCAGCTTCATATACGTGCTTTTCAGTAACGTGAGAGAATACTTTCACCAAGGGGCATGTAATGGCACATGCAATTGTAAAGAAACCTTTGACTGACTGACTGGAGAGTATTTCAAAATATTTATTCAGGTAAAGTAAACAGTAAAGAGTCACACGCCATTAAAGTCTCTTTGTGTTGTGTACTAAAAGGAGTTCCAAAGATGTGTAGTCTATTCATAAATAACATACACATCATTTTTTACATAAGGATCCAGTCATACTTTTCCAAGTCTAAATGTTCATATACCATTATTTGGATGAACGATTTATTAGTTTTATTATGATACTTAAAACATGCCTAAAAATCTTTACAGGATCCAAAATGTTATCCATCGACCTAAAACAATAAGGCCTTGATCAGCTATTCTGCTAGGCAGGTAYTTTAACTGAAGGACATACGCAATCCCATTGAAAACCAATGGACCAGTCACTCATTTCACAGTAAATACAACAAAAGCAGACGCTGTTGGGTCTCAGGACACAGGGAAGGATCTGCAGCTCTGGAAGGGAGGCCCCATGCTGGTAGAGCAGCAGGTTGCTCATGCAAACCTACTGATGGAGAGACCTGAKGCAACGAGGGCCAAGCAGACACCACCCACCATGACCTAGCARCTGCCATTTGAAGGCACTAAAGCTGGAGAAGCCTGGGCGTTGACTTAGCTTTG